GCAAGCTGGGAGAGGTAGAGTGACTTTGCCTGGGTTCCTTAGGTGTGGCTGCACCCTAGAGCCCCTGCACTCCTCACCACGCTTGCTGAATGTGACTACAGCTTTTTGGATCTGGAGTGGCAACTTAGGAAAGAGTCCAAAAATGGCGTATAAAATGAAAGCAAACTTAATCAATGTTAGGCAGCATGATAGAATTATATTCTGCAGTTAATCTAGTGGAGATGATGTGAATTCTGCCTACAATAATGTACCCGTGCCCATTCTGCTAATACTCTGCACAGCCTCATGGAGGCCATAAAGGCAAACCAAGTATATACTTTGCCCCTAAGGGGTTAATGAACTAACAAGAAGTAAAACATGACACCGGTAACTTTTTCCTTTTTAGAGACAGAATCTTGCTTTGTTGCCCAGGCTGGAGTGCAGTGGCATGATCATTGCTCACTGCAACCTCAAACCCTGAGCTCAAGTGATCCTCTCACCTCAGTCTCCCAAGTAGCCAGGACTGTAAGCATGCTCCATCATAACTAGCTAATCATTTTATTTTTTGTAGAGATGGCAGTCTCACCATGTTGCCCAGGCTAGTCTTGAACTCCTGGCTTCATGCGATCCTCTCACCTCAGCCTCCTAAAGTGCTAGAATGACAGGCATGAGCCACTGTGCCTGGTCCCAGATAACTTCAGTTAAAGTCAAAAAGCTAGAGATTCAGACAAAGAACTAAATACGTTTAGAGAAAGGGAGATGATTTCTGGCTTAGGGGATCAGAAGCAACTTGATTGAAGAGGTGCTATCTGAACTAGATTTGGAAAGGTGGGTCTAAGTGGAAAATGCAAAAGAGGGGAGGTAGTGTCCCAGGGTGGGTAGTGGGGCACAGTTGGACAACCAAGGCAGAAGGGCCCAGTAGTCTGCTCTGGGGGATGGTGTGGATCAAAAGCACAGACCAAGTGGATACACTCCCATAGGTCAGATGGAGGCTCCTGCCTCTTCCTATCATCCTGGTTCCCTCCCCACACAAGCAGTTCCAGTCTATCCAACATGTTCCATTTTTCATTCATCCGGGCATTCACACGTGTGTTTTTTTCCTTACACCTAGAATGTCCCTTTCCACCTGCAAAAATCCTCAGCCTATAAGGCACTTCTCAGAGATCACCTCTCCTGGGAAGCCTGCCACTCCTGGGCTATTCCTTCCTATTTATTGCAGCTGTGGTACCAAGATGTCATTGTTTTCCTGTCTGTCTCACCTGTCTGCATTCCTTAGGGAACCTTCAGAATCATCAGTGGAGCTTCTGAAAGGGTAAATCTTGGGCTTCACCCCAAGAGATCCAATTCAGCAGGTCTGCAGGGACTGAGGCATAGCAAGGAAAACCACCCACCGTCTTGGGAGAGTAGACTTGGCTGCTGTTTATGTATTCCACCCAGAGATACTTGGTAAAAGTTTGCTGATGAAATAAATCTATAACAAAGTATCAGGTATAGTACCCGCATAGTAAGCCAGTCCTGATAACTGATAAATTATTAGGCCAGCCTTGCCACTTTGTTAATCCTAAAACTATAGGAGTTAGTGTGTGTGTGTATTCTTTTTTTTTTTTTTTTTTTGAGTTGGAGTCTAACTCTGTTGCCCAGACTGCAGTGCAGTGGCACACTCCCAACCACTGCAGCCTCAACCTGCTGGGCTCCAGTGATCCTTCTGCCTCAGCCTTCCATGTAGCTGGAACTACAGGCGTGCACTACCACACCCGGCTAATTTTCTTTTATTTATTGTAGAGATGAAGTCTCGCCAAGTTGCCCAGGTGGGTCTCGAACTCGCGGACTTGAACAGTCCACTCACCTTGGCTTCCCAAAGTGCTGGGATTACAGGCTGAACCACCGAGCCCAGCCATGTGTGTGTTCTTATAATGTTACCTGGCAATACCTCAAGAGTGTAGATAAATATTTTGAGTGACTTGTAGTAAAATGAAACAGGTCTGGTTCTTGAGGTATATGCAGAGTCGATCTGATTCACAAGTAGCATAAGGGGCTTAGCATAAGGGGCTCTGGCACTGGCTCTGTACAATTTGTAAACTAAAGTGTCCAGTTGTCTCTGCTGTTTGTGCTAGCATATAGCATACACACAAACGAGACACGCACTCCAACTTGGTTTCAGTGAGGGTTTTTGTTTTGCCCTGTGTGACCTTTTTACTGACTCCACTGCTAGAGGGTTGAGTCCAAAGAGGGCCTGTCCCAAATACATGACTCTCAACCGAAAGCGATTTTGCCCTACTAGGGGATACTTGACAATGTCTGGACACACTTGTGATGGTCAGGACTTGGGGTTAGTACTGGCATCTGGTTGGTAGAAGCAGGGATGCTGCTGACGTCCTGCAGTGCACAGGACAGCCCTCTACAATGAAGGCTCGCTGGGCCTCCATGTTAGTGGCCAAGGCCGAGAAAGCCTGCGTGGGACATGATGTTTGTCCCTGGGGGAAAGTGCACTGTTTTGGCTCTGTGAGGACAGGAGCACCATCTGTGTTGCTGCCCTATTCTTTCCCCTAAGCCCATGATGACAGCTGCATCCCTAACACCTATAACAGTGTCTCTGACATTTGGATGTTGTTGAAAGCAGCTCTCCCCTTTAGTAGGTATTTTGTTATTACTGACAGTGCTGCCTCGATTCTCTCAGATCATACTTTTTGGTGCCCATATGAGTTTTTGTTTATGGAATCCAGGAAGTGGAATTGTTGGGTCAAATGCACATGTATTTAAATTTTTGTTAGATGTTTTTTTGAGAAGTTGTTGAAGGTATGTAGCCCCACTCCTGGGTGGGTGCCTGTGGGGAAACACACACACATGCACGCACGCATCCCTGAAGGTTAGGAGCAGACTGTGAGAGCAGAAGACGGAAGCCACCTGTCTGTCACCAGGAGATCGTACACTGGTGCTGCAGAGAAAAAAATCATGGAGAGTTGCACATGCTGATATGGATACATTTCACAAAGCAGTAACAGTAAAACTGAAAGGCCCTGTCAACTTGCAGGAGGTGATTGATATCACTTACATAAGGTTTAAAAACATGTCAGAACTGAAGTATATATTTTTAGGGATAGCCACATATGCAGTATAAACATACAAGAAGCACATCAGTGGTAAGCACAGTCAACATGGGTGAAAGAAAGGGATGCAGCTTGAGAGACAGTCTGAGGACTCAGCCTGGACTAAGCATGTTCCACATAAGGTGGGCAATAGTAGGAATCTGGGCAATGCTGTTCTTTTATGTTTTTGGTTTCTAGAATTTCATTTGAAACTTTTTCTATATTTTATTTATTTTTTTGAGTTAGGTTCTCACTCTGTTGCCCAGGCTGGAGTGCAGTGGCAAAATCATGGCTCACCATAGCCTTCACCTCTTGGGCTCAGGCAATCTTCCCACCTCAGCCTCCCGAGTAGCTGGGACTACAGGTGTGCACCACCACACCCAGCTAACTTTTTTATTTTATGTAGAGAGAAGGTTTTGCTATGTTGTACAGGCTGGTCTTGAACTCCAGAGCTCAAACACCTCAGTCTCCCAAAGTGTTGGGGTTACAGTCATGAGCCGCTGAGTCTGGCCAGAAATATTTTTAAAAATTAGCCCATTTAGACGTTAAAAAAATAACCCCAGCACTTTGGGAGGTGGAGGCAAAAGAATTGCCTGAGTCTAGGGATCCGAGACCAGCCTGAGCAACTTGGTGAGACCTTATCTCTATAATAAATCAAAAAATTAGCTGGGCATGGTGGCACATACCTGTCGTTTCAGCTATTTGGAAGGCTGAGGCAGAAGGATCATCTTTGCTTCATTTGTTTTTATTTGGACTTCTTAGTACTCTAAATTGGACTCCATTCAATATATGAGCTCTTTTTTCTTTTTTTGAGTTGGAGTCTCCATTGCCTAGGCTGGAGTACAGTGGCACGCTCACGGCCACCCAAGGGTCGACCTGCTGGGTTCTGGCAATCCTTCCGCCTCGGCCTCCCAAGTAGTCAGAACTACAGGCATGTGCTACCTCACCTGGCTAATTTTTCTTCATTTATTGTAGAGACGAGGACTCACCAATAAATGGGTGGCTCAAGCCTGTAATCCCAGCACCCTGGGAAGCTGAGGTGGGAGGTTCACTTGAGGCCAGGAGTTTGAGACCAACTTGGGCAACATTGCAAGACCCCATCTCTTTAAAAAAAATTAGGTGCAGTGGCATATGCTTGTAGCCCAAGCTACTTGGGAGGCTGAGACGGGAGGATTCCTTGAGCCCGGGAGTTCAAGGCTGCAATGAACTATGATTGTGCCACTGTACTCCAGCCTGGGTGATAGCATGAGGCCCAGTCAAAAAAATAATAAGAAAAAGTGATGTAAAGTAGATACCGTCAGAGGTTGTTTATGTAGAAATGGTAAACCATTCCATAAATTTTGTTTCATTTGTGTATGCAGATGTTTGTTTACATATGTGCACTAGATTGTGGTGTAAACTATATTACTGTAGTCCGTGGTCAGAAAGGTTGGAAAAATACAGTGTAGGCATGTTACATGGACTTTGTTCTCTTTTTTTTTTTTTTTTTTGAGTTGTAGGTCTCACTCTGTCACCCAGGCTGGAGTGCAGTGGCATGATCATGGCTCACTGCAGCCTCAACCTCCTGGGCTTCGGTGACCTTTCCACTTCAGCCTCCTGAGTAGCTGGGACTATAGGCAAGCGCCACCAAGCCCAGCTAATTGTTTGGATTTTTTTTTTTTGGTAGAGATGAGGTCTTGCTATGTTGCCTAGGCTGGTCTCAAAACTCCTGGGCTCAAGCAGTCCTCCCACCTAGGCCTCCCAAAGTGCTGGGATTATAAGTGTGAGCCACCACGCCCAGCCTAACTTTTTAATATATAAGACATAATTTAAAGAAAATTTCAGTGGTGGATTTATGATGAGAGCAAATTTGCAGAAATGTTGCTAAGCATGATGGTTCTTTTCTTGTTCCAATTTTCTTCTTTTTGTATGTAAGCAACTAGAAGCCATTTGTGTCAAGGTGACATCTGGAAAAATAAAAGGTCAGGAGAGGCCAATGCCCCCACTGGCCACCATCCAGCCCAAAACGGCAAGACGGAGCCAGCCGCCCAGGGGAACTTCCAGCCTGATGGGACTCCGCGTAGCCAGCCCTCAGCTGCTCAGGATACAGCCCCTCATGAGAACTGGGTCAGAGCTGTGCTTCCGGAGTGACTTGCCTCAGCCTCCTGCTCAGGTGTTTGTACAGAGGCCACTGCCTGCCCTCCAACCAGTCCCTGCAAAGAGTGGCGTGGCCTCCGAGGCTCCAGGCGGCCAGGGCTCCCTGGCGACCCCTTTGCTGGCTTCTCACTCAACACTAGCAACGTCGGTTTCATCCAGCTCAGCACATTTATTGGTTCCCAGCTCGCATACAAAACATACCGAGAAACTAAAGAAATCTTTAAAAGTGAAGACACGTTCTGGACGGATATCTCGACCTCCCAAGTACAAGGCTAAAGATTATAAATTCATAAAAACAGAGGATTTGGCAGATGGTCATCCATCAGATTCTGATGATTATTCGGAACTGAGTGTGGAAGAAGACGAAGACCAGAGGGAGAAGCAGGCGCTCTTTGACTTGTCAAGTTGCTCCCTGAAGCCCAAGACTTTCAAGTGTCAGACTTGTGAAAAGTCATACATAGGAAAGGGGGGACTGGCCCGGCATTTTAAGCTTAATCCAGGCCATGGCCAGCTGGACCCTGAGGTGCTGCTGTCTGAGAAGGCCAGTGGGCATGTGGTCAGGGGGCGTGTGGAAGAAGGGACCCTCAGCCTGGCTTCCCAGGAGCTGTCCACATCAGCTGCTCTACGTGATGGCGGGGCCTGCTCCCACTGTACCACAGGGTTGGAGTCAGCATGGGGTGGCCTGCAGGTAACGCTTCTGTTTGAGTACAGTCCTTATTCCTGTCCCTGCCTGCTCATCCTTAAATTAAGCTTTATGGTGTCTGATGGGGCTTAGGCAAAGGCTCCAGCAGGACCAAAGTCATCAGACTGGGGGACCCTAGCCCTCACATTGTTGCTCTGCTGCTGTTTGAACAGATGAGGGTGGGCATGGTGGCTCACACCTGCAATCCCAGCACTTTGGGAGGCTGAGGCGGGAGGATTGATTGAGGCCAGGAGTTTGAGACCAGCCTGGGCAACATAGCAAGACCTCGTCTCTACCATAAAATAAAAAAATTACCCAGGTGTGGTGGTGCATGCCTGTAGTCCCATCTACTTGAGAGGCTGCGGCAGAAGGATTGCTTGAGCCCAGGAGGTCAGGTTTGCAGTGAGCCATGATTGTGCCACTGCACTCCAGCCTGGGCGGCAGAGTGAGACCCTGACTCGAACAAACAAAAAAACAGGTAAGGAGCTGGGTGTCTTCTCTCTGGCATGGTTTGATAGTAATACAGCTGTCAATTCTTTAGATCTGGTCAGTAAAACTGATGGCAGTGCACTTTGGCTGATGTTACAGAGGTTGTTGAGAAAGGCCGGCATGGGGGGTGGCAGCCCACTGGGTGCTTCCTGGAGTGTTAGTCTTACACGCTGCTTAGCATGGCCCCTCCCCATTTTGCCCCTGCTGAAACTCCCAGGAAAACAAAGCAGGTATGAGTTGCTATGCATTTGCATTACCACACTAAAACTGTTTTCCAAAATTTTTTATTGTAGTAAAATGCACGTAGCATAACATTTACCATCTTAACCATCTTTAAGCGTACGGTTCAGGGGTATTACGTGCATTCGTAATGTTGTGGGGCCATCACTGCCACACATCTCCAGATCTCTTTCATCTCATAAAACTGAAACTGTAGCCATAAACAGCGACTTTCCATCCCCCTTTTCCTCCAGCCCCTGGCAGCCACTGTTCTACCTTCTGTCTCTGATTTTAACTGTTTCCTTATTTAAGTGGAATCACAGAAGGTCTCTCTGTGGTTGGCTCATTTCACTGAGCACCATGTGCTCAAGGTTCATCCATGTTGTAGCCTGTGCCCGAATTGCCTTCCTTTTTGAGGTTGAATAGTATTCCACTATATGTACATACCACATTTAGTTATGCATGTACTGGGTTGCTTCCACCTTTCAGCTATTGTGAATAATGCTGCTATGAACATGAGTGTACAAATACCTCTTTAAGACTATTCTCAAGTTTTGGGGGTAAATATCCGGGAATGGAATTGCTGGGCCTTATGGTAATTCTATTTTTGATTTTTTAAGGAACCACCATAATGTTTTCCATAGTGACTGTACCATTTTACTTTCCTACCAATAGTGTCCAAGGGTTCCAGGTATTCTACATCTTCACCAATGCTTGTTATTTTCTGTTTCTGTTTTTTGGATGGTAGCCCTCCTAATGAGTGTGAGGTAGTTCTGATTTGCATTTCAGTACTCAGTGTAGTTCTGATTTGCATTTCCCTAATGATTAGTGATGTTCAGCATCTTTTCATGTGCTTTTTGGCCATTAGTATATCTTTTTTAGAGACAAGGTATCACTCTGTCACCCAGGCTGAAGTACAATGGCATGATCATAGTTCACTCTACCTCCAATTCCTGGGCTCAAGCAATCTTCCTGCCTCAGCCTTCTGAGCAGTTAGGACTACAGGCATATACCACCACGCCTGCTGTGTTGTCCAAGCTGGTCTTGAACTCTTGGTCTCTCTCCTTGAGCTCTCAAAGTGCTGAGATCACAGGCATGAGCCACCACACCCCAGCCATTTGTATATATTTTCTGGAGAAATGTCTGTTCAAGTTTTTGCCCATTTTTGAGTTGGGTTGTTTTTTATTGTTGAACTTTTGGAGTTCTTTGTATGTTCTGGATATTAATCCCTTATTAGATACAGGATTTACAAATATTTTCTCCCATTCTGTGAGTTGTCTTTTTACTCTATTGATAGTGGCTTTTGAAGCAAAAGATTTTAACAGTTTTCACAAAAGTCTAATTTGTCTTATGTTTTCCTTTGATGCCTGTGCCTTTGGTGTCATATCAGAGAAATTATTGTCAAATTCAATACAGTGAAGCTTTTGCCCAAAGTTAAAACATTTTTTTTTTCAATTTTTAAATTTTTTGTACAGATAGAATCTCGCTATGTTGTCCAGGCTGGTCTTGAACTCCTGGGCTGGTGTGATCCTCCCACCTCAGCCTCTGAAAGTGCTGGAATTATAGGCATGAACCACCATACCAGGCCATGTCCTAGGTTTTCTTCTAAGAGTTTTATAGTCTTAAGTCTTACATTTAATCTATTTTAAGTCAATTTTGGAATACTGTGTTAGATAAGGGTTCGGCTTCATTCTTTTGCATGTAGATATCCAGTTTTTCCTAGAACCACTTGTTTTTTTTTTTTATTTCTTTTTTATAAACTTTTTTTTTCATTGAATTTTTTTTTTTTTACTTGGAGTCACTCTGTCACCCAAGTTGGAGTGTAGTGGTACACTCATGGCCACCCCATCGTAGACCTGATGGGCTCCAGTGATCCTTCTACCCCAGCCTTCCCAGTAGCTGGAACTATTGGTGCGCGCTACTATGCCCGGCTCATTTTTTTTTTAATTGTAGAGACGAGGTCTCACCAAGTTGCCCAGGCTGGTCTCGAACCCGTGGGCTCAGGCAGTCCACTTGCCTCGGCCTCCCAAAGTGCTGGGATTACAGGCTGAGCCACCAAGCCCAAATTCCTAGAACCACTTGTTAAAAAGACTCTCCCTTTCCCATCTTGGCACCCTTGTCAAAAATCATTTGACTGTATATGTAAGGGTTTATTTTTGGGCTCTTTATTCTACTCTACTTATGCCACTACCACACTGTTTTTGTTGTTGTTGTTCTGGTAGTTTTGATTACTGTAGCTTTGTAGTAGCTTTTGAAATCAGGAAATGTGAGTCTTCTAGCTTTGTTCTTCCTTCTTTTCTTATTCTAATTCCTCCTCCTCCTCCTCCTCTTCCTCCCCCTCCTCTATTATCCAGGCTGGGGTGCTTTGGCATAGATCACTATCACTGTAATCTCAAATTCCTGTGCTCAAGTGATCCTTCTGCCTCAGCTTCATAGGCACATGCCCCACACTCAGCTCATTTTTCAATTTTTTTTTGAGTTGAAGTCTCACTCTGTCGCCCAGACTGGAGGGCAGTGACACGCTCCCGGCCACCACAGCCTCGACCTGCTGGGCTCCAGCGATCTTCCACCTCAGCCTTCCAAGTAGCCAGAACTACAGGCACACGCTACCATGCCTGGCTAGTTTTTGATTTATTGTAGAGACGAGGTCTCACCAAGTTGCCTGGGTGGGTCACGAACCCACAAACTATTAGTTGTGTGTGTGTGCCTGTATATTTGTGTGTTTGTGTAAAATCTTTAGGCTATAAGATTATATCATCAAGCCAGGCTCAGTGGCTCAGCCTGTAATCCCATGCCTTTGGGAGGCTGAGGTGAGTGGATTGCCTGAGCCTGCGGGTTCGAGATCCGCCTGGGCAGCGAGACCTCATCTCTACAATAAATCAAA